CGATACAAATTTGCGTCATTTTAAGCTGTCAAATGTTACATTCGCATACACTATCTGGTTCTGCTAGTTTTTGTGAAAGATTAAAGATGAACTATATGTGGAAATGTGAAACCAAAATTCACATGGTCCAGTGTAAATCTCCCGGTGAATATTAATTCGTCTTCCTAAGTTCTGTTAGCGTCTCCGTAATCGATTATGAAAGATTATTTAAAATTCATATACCCCGTGAGAACTCTAGTGTCTATTTTTTGTTGCTTTGAAAAAATAATGCATCCTCGATCGTGCCACCAACACAGAGAATGCAAGAAAAGGGACAGTCTCCGGGTCGTTAGACGTTGTATAGGAGTACATTTCTATCTTTCCGCGTGGCGAAACGCTTAGACGTAGCTTCGGGCGCGCCAGTAATGGCATCTGAACCAGCTCGGAGGATGGAAACGGTGCAATAGATGCAGCGCAAATTCACTACCATTGTAATCTATGTCCACCGTGCTATTGAGCTTGTCAAAACTAACGGTTGAACTGTCATTTTTACGATCTCTGCTGGCATTCAAGTTTACGATTGGCTGCGTGAAGACCAAATAAGCCCATAACAGTAGTTTATAAATCTGTCCGCCTAGTCTGTCGTCCCTCCCTCATCAGCGAGTACAAGTTGGCCGATGCCGGCCTGGAACCTATTAACTTAAGCCACTGCGGTAGGGTCACTGAATATGGAGGCCATATAGGGATGGCAAGTTCGCCGCCCATTTCGGGGGGCAGTGCATCAAACAGACATCCTCCATCTTTGAGCATCTTGTGCAAACTACTTCTAAAACGCTGTCAAACAAAAATCGCTGAGGCAACAAGTTTTACGCTATGCTGTACTGAAACTGAATGTGCTAAGACAGGCTCCCGTTGCACAGTAGCAAGTTTTTGCGAGCAGGCAAGGCTTCAGGAGAGTTTGACATGCACCATCTAACATTTATACCCTCACAATTCCGAGTGATTGCGAAAAATCGACGTACTTTCCTTTGACACACCACGCATTAAACACTGTAATAGTTACCTACGATAGCACTTGGCTAAGAATCTGTCCACCCCATCAGATGTGAGGTCTGTACACCCCACTGACGTTTATTTTTCCCGAAAGGAAGTATAACAGTCTCAGGAATTTTATGGCTTTTGTAGAGGGTGGGGAAGTAAGTTCACCTTTTTAACCAACTGCAATTAAGGGGCTGTTTGTGCAGATATTCGAGTAAAACTAATGCTGTTTATAAAGTACAAAAAGTGATCGGGGTAAGTTCAACATTGTGATAGTAAATGAAACGGAATCCGTGTGGCGAAAGTGGTAGAAAATTCTGCACCCATTTAACATCAAAATATCCCATATTTTCAGATAGCATATCTTGAAACGACGCACATTCCTGTGGCCCAAGCATCGGAGACGGTAATCTACACACGCACACGAGATTTATGCCATGTGCCTTACAAAATGTGGTACGGAGACGGCGACTTGCGTTGAATATACTTCACTCTGCCTCTCCCACCTCAGTCCGGTGTTATGATCAAGTCAAGAAGACAGGCAGCAAGAGTTATCGCAGCCTGACTTTCAGTCTATCTAAGTAATTTTTTGTCAGACTACGTTTAAGACAAATGGCGAATATTATTATTGACTGAAATTCAATGTGTTAATAGGCGTGAATGGAGTGGGAACCATGTTTTCAGTCGCACTTTAAACTTTAAAACGTGTACAAAAGGTTTAGTCAAACTGTTCAAATTTTAGGCACTTACAATAAGTACTGTAGTCGACAGAATGAGCGGTATCCAAAAGCGGAAAGCAGAAGAATTTATAAATTACAATGGGGAGCTTACCGCAGCACAACCGTAGTTGAAGTCCAGATTCGAGCAGAAAAACTGTTCACGATCCCATAGGATTGGCTTGCTAATATGTTTCGAGAGGTGTTGGCTCCAAGTTCGAACTACCTCTTCGGGACCCCAGGTTATTACCGCGAAACCCACGTTGAAGTTGTGGAAATCTGCCTACAAAGATAAATCGAGACGCAAGCATGACGCAACTGTTTAGGAATCGAATTGGTAGAAGCTGCTAAAACAGACATTGGCATTCCTTGAATTTCATGCAGTCACGAGTATACTGGTCTATTTGCTTGACTATGTGTCCAGCGGACCGTCGGTCTACAAATGTTAATGAAAGCCCTAGTTGCAGAGAGTCAGCACACGCTGCGACAAAATTGCAGGGTTGCTTATCACAAGGCATCCATGAAAGACGACGGATGCTATTTGAGTAAGTTCACCGTGAGCTCAGTGATACTATTCTTGATCTGGCACGTTTTTTTACTAGGAAAGTTATAAGAGGAAGCTAAATGAAAACCTAATTAGACACGCTTCATCAGCATATTCGATTTCCGTAAATGAGAGCAGTTTGAGTTCTCCTGCTTCGATGAAGACGAAAACAGGTGAGATAATCTAGGCCGTTTAGAACACACCTGATCACAGCTTTAACAATGTTTCGCGAAATCGGGCTCAGGACAGTAAGGCACACGGCGAATACAAAAGTGTGTTTGAGATACTTGACGGCAGTTTTCACCCGTATTCAGTCAACTTTTAATCGAAGCAGACAAACTATTCTGGAGGCTTTGCCAGCTACACTGACCGAACAGAGACATCTGGGGTTGGGTAAGAAAGCAAATATCCTTTTCTTCTTCGAGACTCACACTGGCGACTGCAGTCATAATCCGAAATAAAACATGCAGTACAGTTAAGAAATTAGTCAGCATCTCAAATTACAAACGCAAAATACTCCGAACACAACTTATACTGATGCCGGGCTTGTCTGTGAAAATTCGTCAAAGACGAAGATGCTAGTGAAACGGTGCGATCTAATGGGTATCAATGATTACACAGAACCAGTCATTTTGTTCAGTAAGAACCACCCATTTCTCGGTAACAGTAGGTTTCGACGAGCAATGGTAGTTTTTGTGATATAAGGTTGATCAAGGTGAAAGACAGCAAAACGATGTTTGAATAAGAGCAGTGAATAACCTAGAGGGCATGTCAGTCTCCGTTAAAAAGGCATTGATTTGGCCTTCTTTGAAATTCACGAGGCGGAAGCTGTGCAAATAAACGAGTAGACGCGTGACAAGGCAGTCGGAGAATGTTCGCGTCACATTAGGCGTCCCTACAGGCAGCTTTCCCTAGGGAGTAGGTTGGCTAAATATTAATCGATCCCTTCATAAAAAATGATGACAGCTGTGCTGGCTGCCCATGACGAGATCAACAAGGGGACAATCCGCGTCGTACGAGCGTATGACCGACTTATTTTGAAATTTGCTTGCCTTTCTTTTGAATATCAGGTGGAAAGATGTGTCCTGTGGGTTACGAGATGTTTCGGCAGCAAACGTTTCTCATTCTTTTGGAATTTTACGTAGGAATCGCATTTTTCCTACGAACGGAATACTTACATTAGATTCCATCAGAATTCGTGCCTGCTCGATGAGTGGTTCGAGGTTCAGACTCTGGAAAGCAACCCCTTCTTTTATAAGAGTATAATCCAATCAAGTGACCAAGAAGTAGGTGCGTTTGTTCAAAAAAACTCTACAGCACTCATTTTAGCGACGTTTTAATAACTGGTATTGTCTTCAATGCACGGGCTTTTTGAATATTGGGTTTTAAATCAGCAAGGTCGTTTTTATTTGGTATTTTGTCGAGATTTTCAACAATAACCTATTGTGGATAACGGGCCACGCTTAGTGCGAGCTACGGGTGCACTTTTTTGACCATGGAAATATGGTTGAAATTATGTGCTGGAAGGAATTCCAGCAGTAAAATATGTCTCAGGAAAAGTAAGAGGCCTATCAATGGCACAAAGAGAGCCCATGTTAAACGCTAGGCTTATTTTTAGGAGTGCAATACAACAAGGCATGTTTTAAAAAAACGTCTGAAGCTGATTCACCTTCGTTTCTTTTCAAGCAAAAGGCCAGCGCCCTACACTTTGCCACATGTAAGCTAAATAGAGAAGAATAAATGGCATTTAGTTTTGTTCGGGAACAAAACTTACCGCAATTTTTGCTATTTCTGAAAATCGCCACCGAACAGCAGTATCAGGGAGGTAAGCAGGCTGAAATATCAGAAGGAGACTGGGATGGTTTGATAAAATATTCTCGAGTGTGCACACGGTATTTGACAGACAGTCAACGAGGACAGGATTGGAGAGGTCTATGTAATCTCCCACATCTTTAGGCTCATGATTTTGCATTTTATCATCAACAGGTGATGACTGTTCAATTTCCTTATCAACGTTTGAAAGGAAGTTACGCCAACAGCCTTCCGTTTCCTCGATGGCGTCCTGTGCATCTAACATATCGTCCAAGTCGTGCGCACGCTGAAAAAGACGACTAAGAGCCTCCCTTGACTTTAGCTTCAGTTTTTCATACATGTCCGCATAAGACTCGATACCACGAAACATGGTTGATGCCGCCGATTCTGCAAATACCCTTGCATTTGACTCGGCTTTGCGACGCGCTCCTTGAAGAATATCATCCAATTCGCGAGCACAATGTCTAACTGAAATAATAATCTGCTTTTCTTCTTCATTTGGTTCTCTTGGTGTCCGACCTCTGCGGGCCTTTTTCGACATTTCTAGCCGGCAAGTAAAATATTATCTTCACCGACCGAATTTTGGCTTCTTAAAACAAAATTGATATATGAGATCCATATTTTAGAACAGGTTATGGTATTAAGCTGTCGTATTTTCAATAAATAACCATAAATTTACCTTTCTTGGTACCAAATTTGGGGGAAAATGGTCTACACTCACTTTTCAGCAACGTGCGAAGCTAGAATCCTTCAAAAACATTGTTTCTACTAAGAATGGTTACCAACATAAGATAAGTTTCAATTGTATTTTTAAAAAAACTCCCAAGAAGTAAAGTATACTTTAACTTGGCCTTCCGGTTCCCCTTCTCTTGCGGGTATGAATTTACTTTTTCAGAATCAGGGATACTATTATCGTGGGGGATTAAGTAAGTCAAACCCAGGCAACTGCGATCTTCAGACCGTGATTACTTAGTGGAGACGAAGTCGGTATAGGCCAGAGTAGAAGGACGAGTATATTGTGTGCACAAAGGAACGGAGAATAGAC